CTCGACCAATCTCGCCTCCTGGTCAATATGAAGAGTAGACCAGATTTTACAGTATCACTGACGGTACCAGACACCCGGTCTAAAAGTGTTGTTTTGGGGATTCCATATACCTTTGATGCCTTATACACAGTCGTATTTTTGTTCACTTTGTGTAGAGCATTGTGAAGAGAATCAGGAGAATATTGTCCATATTCTCCCCTCGCTTGTTGTGCCCTCTGTAAATTTCAAGCAAAATCATTTCTTAAATTTTATTAAAAGTATCTAAGAAAATGGTAACTTTGACAGAGTGAAATAAAATAATTGATCCGCTCCTTCTACTTGAGATTCTTGCATCCTGATGACACAGATGTATATTTCAATAGGAATAAAGGTTATTTATTTTACATGTAAAATTATGAAATTAGAACTAGAATTATTCTCTTGAAAAATAAGCATTAGAGAAAAGTGCAATTTTCCGACATCGGGAAAAAAAAACAAAAGACCTACCTCTGATAACTTTACATTGAACATGTTTGTTGTGTTTACATTTGGTTCGAAGTAAAGCAGCCGAAAATGACGTCATGGCGCGCGCAGTGTATGTAGGAAGCAAGTTTATAAAAATAGATCGAAAACACAAGACGGTCGAAAACGGATACGAGACTAATGCAATCTGTCTTAAATTTTATCCTATCTACATCACTGACTTCGTGGCGCAACAGTATGATTGTTGGAATGTAAATGTAGTGATTCCGAGTTCGAGCCCAACATGATCCATTTGTCCCTTTTAAATTTTGTGTGTGTGTGTTATCTTTTCTATTTTTTTTTATAATCATGTTCCATAATAAACATAATAATTATTTCAGAAAATTATAATATACACATTACATTTTTAAAGTATCTCTGGAAAAGACAGTCCTCAATTATTACATTAAATTTTGAAAATACATAGCTTCTTGATTTATTGTTTTGAACATGTAAACTGATTGTCATATGACATACTTGCAACTATGAAAATAAATATAACACTCGTCCACAAATGATATTTCACAGTATGATCTTGAATTGAAAAGGGATATCTATAAATAGAAACAGGTGATTTCCTAGAGTCGTCCGTGTCGTCGGAAATAAACCTATGGCTCTTCAATGAAATGAAATTCGGAGTTTATGAGGATCTTTTGAATATTAATGAGAAATAAATCACGTGGAAGCAATCTCGTGAATAAACTGCACACCATTTCTTCTTATAAAGACATAAAAACCATACATGTAGTATTAATATATTACTTCATAAATAAGAAAAAAAGAACGATGGAAAATTTTGTTGTTAGTTGGTCATTATCGTCCATAGTCAGTATTATAACCAAATATGAAACAGTTATGACAAACTCTGTTGTGTCTTTAATTTCGAGTTCCCTAGGATACATCAAGTCTACAAATTAATGATGAAAACAATGTAAAAGGTGAAGATAACGAACGGTAATTAAATTCATACATCAAGTCATCTTTGCTAGCCTAGGGTTTCTGATCCGCTACTCTCGATTTTTCAAACCGGAAGCCCAGTCGCTTTCTCCGTGATCGGAAGCTTGTGGGTTCAAACCCCGGCTGCCATTGACCTCAGACGATAAAAAATAAGTATTAATTGTTCCTTTGCCAAGCTATCGGCTCTTTGAAGTAAAAGGTGCGGGACCTAAAAAATCGAGACCTCGTGTCACCACAGGCGTTGGCATGATAAAGATCCTGATAATGGCCTGAGTGCCAAGTAAAGGTCAAAATTTGAAGCCCTTCCCCGGTATATGGTTACATCTCCCTATGAGCGAAAAATTCTCATAGGAGACGTAAACAACAAGCAATCAGTCAGAGATAAAACAACGATCTATAAGATAACATGCAATTTAATAAATAGCTGAGGAGTCATCCAACTTTAAGTATATAATTGCAGATATAGATTTGCACCAACAATGCTCGATATCCACTGTTCATTATTCTTGAAATACATCAGTATTTAAAAAAAAAACACTCTCTATTTCTGTCGATGACGCAAGCTCTGCGGTAAGATTAGACCTTCTATGACCATTAACAATACTTAAATCCATCTATGCTAAAAGCTCACCAAAATAAGGTAGCTCGGATGATAAATCGTCCCATTCGAGAATTTTTCGGATAGAGACATCACCTTATGTTTCAAATTTAGACATATACTCGGTACTGAGGTTTTTTTTTTTATCGTGGGACCTCGGTTTTTAAGGTACCTGACTTTCACTTCTAATGTCGGGCGCTTGGCGAAAGACTAGTCTCTATTTACCTTTACGTCGTAGGTTTGACGCCGTGCGGCGAACAAAGTATTTAATAGCATTTTTTGTGGATACCGAAAAAAATATCATAGGCGTAGTCACGGGGGGGGGAGGGGGCAGCGGGGGCACTAGCCCCCCCTTTCAGATATGGGGGGGGGGAAGAGTATGTCTGTGCCCCCCCCCCCCCAATTAATGTAGAACAAAATCACAGCTATGTTGAAATTATAGTAAACCTCATTTTATGGCAGACTTGTTTTATTTCCAGCAACGACTGAGTAAGCATTTCTCTTGAAATAATAGTAATATAATATACTTTATATGTGCCCTCCAATAATTATATATATATAGAATACTATAGAATACATACATGTAGCTACTATATCATTGTGCCCCCTCAATAATAACGTCTGATGACCTTTTTTTTTTGCACGTCTGATGACCTTATTTTTTTGGGCTTGTCAAGGAATTTTGGTAATTGATAGTCTGAAAATATATGGTTGTGCCCACTCAAAGTGAAATTGCTTCCTACAGGCCTGCTAATTTCTTTATATTACAAGTTTTAGATCTTTCTTGGATTTGAGCCCCCCCCCCCCCCACTTTTAAGTTTGTGACTACGCCTCTGAATATGAAATGAGTCATGGTCTTTCATAGCTTTAATCTTCTTGGTCTGATCTCGGTGTATTTCGGTGAATAAGAAAACTCCACCAAGGTTCATAATTCTTATTGTTAGTTAAAAAGTTTAATGAATGGTGTTGCCAAGACAACTTAAAAAAGATTATGTAACTTTTTTTCTCAAAATTTTACTTTCCTCGTTCAGTTTTTTTTAAATTTAATTTTCAACAAAACTTGACCACCGTGGAAATTAATTAAACCAGTAGTTAATAAATCCCTATCCGAACTAAAGAAATCAGAAACAAATCCTCTTGTTTTTCAACAAAAATTAGCCGAAATAAAACAATCTAAACATCCTACAATACAAATTTACACAGATGGTTCAAAGGACAGAGGCAGGGTTGCTGCTGCTGCAGTGGTCAATAATAATATTTTTTCTATACGACCTCCAAACGAAGCAACGATTTTTACAGCTGAAGCAAAAACTTTACAACTAGCTTTTGAATATATAAAAACTTCTAGTGAAAATTCTTTTACAATATTTTCAGACTCGCTTTCATGTTTACAGTCCATACACAATATGAACACTGATCATCCATACATTTTGGATATATTAAATAAGTTTTATCATCTCACTAAACAAGGTAAAAATATCGAATTTTGTTGGATTCCAAGTCATATTGGTATTCCGGGTAATAACAAGGCTGATAGTTCTGCAAAAGCTGCTCTTCAATATGAAATTGTACCTTTTAAAATTCCTTACACTGATCTTAAGTACTTAGTGAAACTTTACATAAATTCTCTTTGGCAAATATTTTTGGATTTTTGTGATAATAATAAACTGTATACCATACAAAACAAAGTTAGTCGGTCATCTGACTTTGGCCTGAAACGTCAGGACGAAGTCATTATTTCAAGAATAAGAATTGGGCATTCCAGGTTTACCCATTCATATTTACTGAGCGGGGAACAACAACCTGAATGCATATCTTGTGACTGTGCAATAACTATAAACCATATACTGTTAGAATGTACTGATTTTACGCCTGTTCGAAATAAACTTTTTAATGGTGTTCAAACAATGCATGATCTTTTTACAAATGTAAGTCCTAGTACAATTTTACAATACTTGCAAGAAACTGATTTTTACAATAAGATATAAATGTATATATTTTTATTGGCATATTTGTAATTTTCAATTTAACTGTTTTTATTTTTAAATTTAAAGTCCGTCGGATGGGACGTAAAACGGTGCCCCGTGTCAAGGATTACAACCCCCTTGGCACGCTAAAGATCGTTTCTCTGGTTTTCGAAAAAGAGTAGGCTCATTGGGGGCCGCCAGAGAAACCCAAAATCTTTCAAAACCGTTTATACAGTATTTAAATTCATACCGCCGAAATATGGCTGAAATATTGCCGACTCGGCGTAAAACAACAATAATCAATCAATCAATCAACAAAACTTGGTAAAACACATTAGGATATATAGTTCTGTAATTGTGAAACATCAAGTACAATTTGTAGTTTCACGAGAGACTTTTCGTCTTGTAATATTAGGGCCTAATTACAAATAATCTCACGATAATTAAAAAATAACCTAAATACATTTAATAAATTCAGTTATAAGGAACTCGCTTATTAGGGAAATCACGATTATTAGGAAAAATTTTCATTTTCCTAGGAAGTCTTCATGGATATTAATAAAAGAGACTTAGTTATATGGAATAAATCTCAAAGGTCCAAGTGACTTCTTTATAATCAAGTTTTAGTGTACAAGTTGTCGGACGAATAAGTTAATTTTGTCATAGGGAAAAATAATTACCTCTGACGTCACAAATTGATATTTTTATTATTATTCAATTACTGTCATGTTTCCTTTTAAGTATTTCTTCTTAACCTGAACTGTTTTGCAATTAAATCAGCAATGTTACCCTGACGACAATGCGGGCTGCTTTTAGCTATAGTAATTGAGGAATAATTCATGATAATTTGAGCTCATCAACAACATTTAATACTATTTCAGATCTGAAAACATTCTTATTTGTGACAAAGAAAGCTTATCTCTTACTTGCGTTATTTCATCAATTTAATAATTGCATCTTCCTTTTTTATTTGACAGACTCTTCAAAACCAACTCAAATCTAAAGTACGTATTTACTAAATTTACACAACTTGAAACGGAAGACGACATGAGACAAAATGAGGCCTTAGAACAACATGCAACTTTCGTGATGACTACAGTTGACGAAGCTATTTCAAATATAGACAATTACAATTACGTCACAGACCACCTTCACCGTACTGGGGCCACACATCAAAGATTTGTAGACTTCAGTTCAGAAAACTTTGCGGTAAGTGTGTTAAGAGAAATGAAATTTTTCACTCAATCTTTCCGTTATTTTCTTCTTTCATTCCACAATGAACACAAGGGACTAATATTGCTTCCACAATGACAAAAAGGGTCATGGACCTCATGCAACGCTCATCTGAATTTCATGAGTTTCCCAGGTCATGACCATTCTGGGGCAACCTCGAACGAGTCTGGATTAAAACAACAATTTTATAGTTTCATGAGGACTCTATAATCATCTCATTGATGCAGGTTGTCTTTTTGATTGAATGTTTGTTGTTTAACGTCCCTAATTGTCTCTAAGAATAAAGTTCAGGAGTAAATAAGAAAGGGGACACTAGATCATAAATTTCAGATACATGTAGCCTGGTCATGGGCGCATGAATTTTATAATATTTGTAGATGAATGGCTGTTTATTGTAACCATGAAAGAAAAGCAAACAAAGTATCCATTAATTTAAGTAATTGACTCTTAATTATAATTTAGCTCTACCCTAGCTAGGGTCTGAAGCATGGGAGAGGGGGCCATAAATATATTATAATTTGGGTAAAGGGCTTAGTGTCTATTAAAATCATGCAAACTTTTTATCTGCCTGATGCCAATAAGAAAATAAGACGCCCTAAACAGTGTAATGAATAATAATACTGGATGTGTCATAACGCCACTAATGCTCCCGCAGGCAGCCAAAATTTCAAATTGCAAATTGCACATTTGTTTTCAACTTGTACATACATCCCTACAAAAGTCAGAGAGCGGAAACTGAAAATTCTTTTTTTCCCCTAAGTTCAAGAGGAATAACTCTGTCAAAAATCATCGGACCATGACCATACTCGAACTTGACTTGTGTGTTCCTGTGACGTATCCATATGTCAAATTTGAGCTGAACGTATGCAACTGTTGCCGAGATAATGAACGACAGGTCAATGATGACGGAAGAGGTCAACACTATATGCCAGGCCATTTTATGGCGGGGGCATAGTAAAACCAAATTAGCCGAACCGTTGCCTGAACACTGCACCAAAGAAGTATGTTAGAGGATTAAGTAGTCAATATGATAAGTAATCATTGCAAACAGTTTACCTGACACAAGTCCATGAGTAAAAAATTTCAAAGTTGTAATGTACAGTAAGTAAATCACTAAATGTATTTTTCGATATGCATTGTTCGACCAACTTAAGACGCACCCTATGGTCTATAGACCCCGGATCCGTGTTGTCACAAGTTTGATAGAGGACTTAGTGATTGTGAAAATCATTTATATAGTTTTTGATGTTTAAAGGATCCATGAGGTCAATCTTCGGTCGTTATCTTCACATTTTTCGTTTGCCTGATAATGTCCGTGAGTAGAGAGAAATTTCAAAATATGTTAATTACCAAAATTGATGAAAATTTGTTAAAGACAAGAAGCTTAAAATTTTCAAAAGTTTGCTACATGTACGGACGATGCATGATGACATCTGAAAAACAGATAGCAATGTCACGTGCTTGACTCGGGTGACCCAAAAACTTAGACGGGGAGAGGGGGGGGGGCTTGATAGAGGAGCTTTCTCGAAGAACTACAAGTCATTTCCGTACGATAATTGAATTATTTCAATATGTGATACCAGGAAATTTGGCTTTAATACCGGGATATTTGACACACATTGTAGCTCACCTGTACCAACCAGTAATGCTTGTTATCGTATATATACTGAATGAGCTGCATGTCAATCAAGAAAAATATAAATAAACAAATTCAGAGAATTGTTGTCCCTTTCTGTTAGGTTCGGGTGTATAATGCATATTTTATATTAAATATTCTGGAGCAAAAGGATTGAAGTTTTTGAAAGTCAAACTTCGACGTCATTTGGTTATGAATTTAAATTCATACATATAGCTCATGTACATTCGTATAAGTCTTCTCAAAGGTTATGCACTTGTGAAAAAAGAAAGCCTTGTGTCTTAAGTGCAAACTTTTTTCCTGAAAAAAGTAGATAAAACTTCAAGATCATGACGTAAAAAAAAAGATTTCACATGGCCATGCCATTTCTTGTGCAAGACCTTTCAGAATGTACCATTCTTTCATTCAAGAGAAATTACTAAGTATTATAATATATATACATGTATAGAGAGAAAGAGAGAAAAGTAGGTCAAACATTAAGGTATATAGGTGAAACATCACACTACTTTCAGATACAAGTCTTATCTTCTCTCATTCAAAAGCCATTACCAATGTTAAAGATTGACATTTTCTATATTACATTTTCTATATATGGCATTTCCTACACATCAAAAGGCATTTCTATCATTATTTTTACCTCACTTTAAAGATATTGCTCCCTGCAGGTCTGTATGAAAATTTGATGCTTTTTTTTCCGCGTGTCCATTATTTTGTCCGCAATGGAAGTACTTAAAAATTTTGTAAATAGGCCTTTGTATCTATAAATAATCCATAATACAAATTGTTCAAAATTTACAAAGCAATTATTTATGTATTTTGCACTACATTGGGTAGAATAAATTTCATAATTTTTAAAGAAAACTATTACATCATTAACAATGATGTCATATTTCGATATTTCAGAGAGGATTTTGAAAACCTAACCGTGCCTTTGGAAAAACATGTTATAAAAAGACAGGTCTACAAAATGACACTATAAATTATTTACATCTTATGCCATAATGAATTTGATGAATTAATTAATCATGGTCAGATACTGAAAGCGGCCTTAAACTAAACTCATGATGACTTCCAGACAAATGAATATTAAGATAGTGGTTGGCAGACTTTAAAACTTGATTTTATCAGATGTTTTCCTCAACTATCTATTACTCGGTGATTTTTTTTTCATAACCCACGCGTAAAACAACAATAATCAATCATATCCCACACGTCATATTCCGATGGCGCCTTGCGATATTATATAAACAAAAACTTTTTTTAAAATCAGGAAAGTTATATTAAATCCAATAAAACTTAATACAAAGTTGATAAAAGAATTTCCAATGCTTTGTGATAGAACATGATTTCTAGATCTGTTTTTTTCCGTCGTGCATCGGTCGTAAACTGTTGAACATTTTCAGCTTCTTCTCTGAATCACTGGGGTGTTGCTGAAACGCGGAACGGAACGGAAAATCTGATGTCTCGTTTTTCACTATGCACAGATAAAATTCAGACATAGGAAGCAATATTCTTTATCTAATACATGTAGTTCATATCTTATTAAAAGTTATTGTAACAATGTGATTTATTCAGATTTTCCGCTCAAAACACGCGGCATATACATGCAATGGTCAATAAAATGCACAATAATTAGACTCGCATCCAAATTATATATCAGAATGTCTCATTTATCACTCATCCAAATCTGAATTTAAAAAATGACTTATTCGTCAAAGACAAAATCATCATTATTGATTATGAAAGGGAATTTTTTTTTTTTTCGAAACAGGCGGAGTGAAAGAGAAACACAGAGTATATTATATTAATTTGTGTTAGAGACAACGATCACTGGCATAATTGAAATAGTGGAGTTAACGAACGGTATTCGAGCTCGAAAGTCCATTAAACATTACAAAATAAGAGCAGAGCAAACAGGGACCTCTAAGACATCAGAGGTGGGATCAGGTGCCATGGAGGAGTGAGCATCCCCTGCCGACCGGTCACACCCGCCGTGTGCTCCTTGTCATGACCGGGAAATAACGGAAAAATCCGTCGACAATTCAGTGTGTAAATAATGGCCTAACAAATAGTATGAAAAAAGTCGGTCAGCATTCGACTTAATGATAGATTGTATTTGCTGACAAGGTCATTGTATCAACCATAGAACTTACGAAATGATGACTTTAAACGAGACTGCTGATTTTCTTGTTTATCAACTTGTTTGTCAATAACTTACCTCTTTTTAGAAATTGTTCATACGTAGAGCATGCTCTGGCGTATCGAATCAACTGAGAGATATAAACCCCGTATGCAGATGATAAGGGTATATTGCTGCATAAGTAAGAGAAGTTGACGATTAAAAAGTTATCACGTTTATCATAAAGCTTTGTTGTTAGATTATCATTAACGTCTTTTTCTAATAAAATATCCAAATATGAAACAGATGTGTCAGACTCTGTGGTATCTTTTATCTCAAGCTCAGCGGGATATATCGTGTCGACATAAGAATGGAAATAACCATTGTTAATTGACAAAACGTCGTCGATATATTTAACTGTCGAGTTGAAGGCCACAGCAAGTGTTTTCTACTTTTCACGTAAAAAATTCTGAATAAATTCTGCTTCATCTGAATTCAAAAATAGGTCTTTTAATAACGGGGCGTAATTGGTACCCATGGGAATTCCAATAGATTATTGGAAGAATAAAGGATACAATTTAAAAACAAGAGGCCAACTGGCCTTATAAGTCACCTGCGTATCATGTATCAACTTTGCCATGAGCCCCGCCCTAACACCAGGGGACATAAAATTCACAATTTTGGAAGAGGCACCCTTACATATCAGAACTATACTCTTAATTCATCAGCTTAATACCCGAGAGAAAAGGAGAAGATTTTCAAAGAATTATTGCATTTTTTACAATGTAATCATTAGAGCCCTGGCCTAACACCAGAACCCCTGACCCAGGGGCCATGAAATTCACAATTTTGGAAGAGGCATCCTTTCTCACCATAACTGTGCATTCAGTTTGTTTGGTAAATACCCAGGAGCAAAGAAGAAGATTTTTAAAGAAATAATGCAAATTTCACTAGATATTCAACAGAGCCCTGCCCTAACACCCTAACCCCTGATCCTGGGGCCATGAATTTCACAATTTTGGAAGAGGTACCCTTACTCATCATTACTATACTCGTAGTTCATCGACTTAATACACAGGAGAAAAGGAGAAAAATGTCAAAGAATTACTGCATTTTTACTCTGTAATCAGTGGAGCCCCACCCTAACAGCAGAACCCCTGACCCAGGGGCTATGAAATTCACAATTTCTGGAAAGGCAACCATGCTCACCATATAATGTTC